CCGGCAACCCATCCACCTGGTGCGTCGTCCACCGTGTCTCGGCAGCCGAACCCTTCAACACCAGCGGCCCCAGCCTTACCAATGGAGGAGACGCCTTCTGCCCCTCCACCTGTGATCCCTGCTCCGTCCCTGCAGGCGCCTGAGGGTCCCGTGGGCCCTCGTTTGGCCAATTCACAACATCCAGAGCCGCCTCCCGCTCGGCCGGACTTCGTTGCCCCGCGTAACTCTCTGCCCGCCCAGAAGACCCTCGGACCTGCGGCCCCAACACCGGACGTGGAGATGTCCATCGTGGAGGAGACCTCTGCGTCCTCCACGTCATCAGCAAAGAACGCAACGAGATTCGACCTCGATGCGTTCATCGAGAGGCACCCCACCGTATCCTTCGCTAGGACGGACGCCCTTGGTCTTGGGCGGGAGGAGGTCCTGGACCTCCTCTCCTCGAGGACTAAGGCACAGAGGAATGGACCCCTCCTGTCGCCTCCGCAGTGCGACGCCCTCGACGGCCTGATCAGGCAAATATTGGATCTGAGGCCCGGAGCAGCCAGCAACCTCTACAAAGTCCTCGGACAAGTCAAAGCTGAGCTGAGGACAGCACCAGCTGCAGTGCCTCCAACGCCCCCACTGCCTGCGCCTCGGCCCGCTGAGCCTATGCTGCCCACTACCCACAGGGAGGAACTGACACCTCCTTTGATGACACATCCGCCGCCCGCCCCGACGGACATGGAGGAGGACGATCAAATGACGGTGAAAGAGCGAGGCACACCCCCACCGCCTGCGCCTCGGCCTGCTGAGCCAACATCACCTGCTCTCCACATGTCTACACATGTCTACCTTGGCCAGGTTAAGGCGGAGCTCAGGACAACACCAGCAGTGCCTTCAACACCCCCACTGCCTGCGCCTCGGCCTTTTGGGCCAACGCCACCTACTTCCCACAGCGAAGAACTGATGCCTGCTGTGATGACACCTCCGCCGCCCGCCCTGACGGAGATGGAGGAGGACAATCCGATAACGGAAAAAGAGCGATGTGTACCCCCACCGCCTGCGCCTCGGCTCGCTGAGCCGACACCACCCGCTTCCCATCGGGAAGAGGTAACACCGGCCATGGCGACACCTCCGCCTCCACTGCCATTCCTGCTCCAGGTGGATCTGGAGAGCAAGTGCGAACGCCAAACACGTGACCTACTCGAGGAGCTGGACTTTCAACGGGCCTTAAGGCCCCTAATAAGGAAAGGGCTAGATTTACAAGGCCTCTCAACTGCGATCATGTGGCTCGAAAGTAGGGAATATCTCGTCGAGACTCTCTCACATAGAACCAGACACAAAGCCACCCTCGCCTAGTTTCTCGGCACTGTCGCTGAGCACGCTCACGACCACCACCCCTCAATTAAAAGGGGAATATACAAGCCCAGGCTGGCTCTGAGCTCCTGACGGAGTCAAGTCTATTGTAAATATTTTTCTCCCATTGACTCTATGAGAGTAATCGTTGACTGAACAGTCAATAAAATTGTTTTCATTGTCATTGTCACATGTATACATATGGTACAGGCCATGATAATCCTGGTGGGTAGTTAGCGACTGTCTTTTACTGTAAGTACACCACATGTCTACATATGGTACAGGCCATGATAATCCTGGTGGGTAGTTAGTGACTGTCTTTTACTGTAAGTACACCACATGTCTACATATGGTACAGGCCATGATAATCCTGGTGGGTAGTTAGTGACTGCTTTTACTGTAAGTACACCACATGTCTACACTCGGCCGTGCGGCCACGCGTCGCGCGAGGTCCTGAGTGTTTCGCCTCTGGCGAGCGAAAATCGTCGCGGATGGCGACAAATTTTATACGGGCTGAAAGCCCTCCGAAAGCTGTACAAAAGCCTGTAAGGCACAGCGTACAAGCCCAAACATGCGCTGAATTATCTGCGAAAGAAGATCTGCAGAGGAAATTTTCAAATAATCTAAGCGCAAAGCAAAACTATGCAAATCCGCCGACAGGCGCTAAAGATGCAAATCTGGCCGCCGCGCGCGGTGACGTCACGACCGGCTCGGCAGCTGCCACGTCATCCAATGGCGCTGCCCGTGTCCTGGGAAACTGGGCGGACTACACCGAGGACCAAGGCCCTGGAGAGGACGACGACTTCACCGTCGTCAAGAATAAGAAAAGGCGCCGTGAATCGCCTGGTTCTCCTGCAGCGGCTGCGCCTTCCTCTGGCACCAGAGGCGCAGGGGCCACTCGCCGGCCACGATCGTCCACGGGGGCGCATATCGCGGAGACCAGGGCGCGGCAGGCGTCTTCAACCGAAGACCACTGCGTCTTCGTAGAGCGCAGCCCTGAACTGGAGCCCTACCATTACATGAGGGCCATAGATCGAATGTTTGGGAGCACCAGGGAGGTCTTACAAGTGACCAAGATGAACGGCCACTTCCTGGTGGAACTGGCAAACAGAGGCATGGCCGAGCGCCTCATCAACGAGGGCCTCGAGGTGGAGGGAACACTCCACAGGGCCTTCCCGTTCCGCAAGAGGGCGGAGCGAATTACAGTGGGCAACCTCCCCTTCTTCGTGGGGGATGCAGCCGTCATCAGCGCCCTTTCATCTTTTGGGCGGGTCACATCTATCGCCCCCAAGCTGATGAAGGCTGGCCCATACATCTACAACGACGGCCGCCGAGAGGCGTTTATCATCCTCCGCGAAGGAATGACCATCGAGAGGCTGCCCACCCGCCTCGACATCATCAAAGGCGAGGCCTGGCCCGCATACCTGTCCTCCGGGATTAGGTGCTCCAGGTGCCGTGGCCAAGGACATCGCAGGGCCAACTGCCCCCTGCTTGCAAGGCGAACCACCGCTCCTGGACCGGCCACACCAACCTCTCCAACCAGCGTCCCACCAGCGACTGCGCCTAGGCTGCCTCAACAACCATCTGCCCAGCCTCCACCTCCGGCATCCCCCAGCCCAACCATGGAGGTCTCCGACGTGCCTCCCACAAGCCGAGCTGCGCTCCATCCACCTGCACCACTCCGGCAATCATCACCAGCGCCTTCGGCCTTACCTGCGGAGGATGCGCCTCCTGCCCCTACACCAGTGACCCCTGCTCCGTCCCTGCGAACACCGGGAAGTCGCGAGCCTGCGGCCCCAACACCGGACGTGGAGATGTCCATCGTGGAGGAGACCTCTGCGTCCTTCACGTCAACAGCAAAGAACGCAACGAGAATCGACCTCGATGCGTTCATCGAGAGGCACCCCAGCGTGTCCTTCGCTGAGACGGACGCCCTTGGTCTTGGGCGGGAGGAGGTCCTGGACCTCCTCTCCTCGAGGACCAAAACGCAGAGGAGTGTACCCCTCCTGCCGCCTTCGCAGTGCGACGCCCTCGCCGGACTTATCAGGCAAATCTTAGATCTGAGGCCCGGAGCAGCCAGCAACCTTTACAAAGTCCTCGGACAAGTCAAAGCTGAGCTCAGGACTACACCAGCAGTGCCTCCAACACCCCCACTGCCTGCGCCTCGGCCTGCTGAGACGGCGCCGCCCGCTCCTCAAGGGGAGGAGTCAGCACCAGCTGAAGTGGCATATCCGCCTCCACTGCCAGTCAAGATGACAGATGAGGTCCGTAAGAAGTGGCTCCTCGACCTGTTCAAGGAATTGAACTGTAAGACCTTCCTGGCAACCTTACTTGGTTGGACCACACCGGAACAAATCATTCATGCGGCTCTGCATTCCGGAGAAAAACGGAATGATATTCTCAACGCACATCCAAACCAAAGGAGCATCCTTGCGAACTTCTTGGGCTCTGTCATCGAGCGTGCCCGAGGCGGTGATCAATCTACTCTCGACCCATTGTCGGACTTTAGGTCGGTCTTGTGACGCTCATTGTAAATAATTGTTAATTTTTTTCCCCCACTGACTTGGGTGTACCATTGACTGTATAGTCAATAAAGGCTGTTTCATTGTCATTGTCACATGTCTACATACGGTACAGGCCATGATAATCCTGGTGGGTAGTTAGCGACTGTCTTTTACTGTAAGTACACCACATGTCTACATATGGTACAGGCCATGATAATCCTGGTGGGTTGTTAGCGACTGTGTTTTACTGTAAGTACACCACATGTCTACATATGGTACAGGCCATGATAATCCTGGTGGGTAGTTAGTGACTGTCTTTTACTGTAAGTACACCACATGTCTACATATGGTACAGGCCATGATAATCCTGGTGGGTAGTTAGTGACTGTCTTTTACTGTAAGTATACCACATGTCTACAAGCCATGATAATCATGGTGGGTAGAAGTGGGCGACTGATTTTACTGTAAGTACACTACATGTCTACACATGTGAAAAGCACTTCGACTTTGCACTTACAAATATGCTAGAGCACCGTTTGGTTACTTGCCTTGTGAGGTTGGAATTTTGCAAGAATCGGGGGCCTTTCTGATTTAAACACGGCACCTAAATTTCTTATTTTGGAATTGGATTCAGTTTAAATGTACAATGATTCTTTCATTGTTCTAGCAAAACTCCATTGTTAGAGAGGACATGTCACAATACAGAGAGAACTGCAGGGTATCCAGATCAATTATTGTGTAGTCCCAGCTGGACTAGTGGCGCCACTCAACGGTGAGTCATCTACAGTGCGCAGAGTCACGTGACCACACAGATCCGTAGCCGCCCAACCTCAAGGTGAGCTTACACATGGACCTCCCATACAAACATTACACTTGTCTTCTCTTCTGTACCCTAGCGTCTTCTTTAATATTACGACTCTAATAGAGCTTTGTTCCCTCTTTTATATGTGGTTTGGTGGTCTAGTGGTATAAATTATCGGTTTTCGATAGCAATGACTCAGGTTCGAATCCCGCTTTAGACACTTTTTCCTGCGAGAAATAATTTTCAATCCTGTCGATGGCTATTGATTCTTGCAAAAGTCTAACATCACCAGTGAGTGGCAAGTAGCCAAATATTACTACTTCAATTTATATAGAGCTTTGATCATTTTTCTATATGTGGTTTGGTGGTGTAGTGGTATAAACTGTTGGTTTTAGACAGCAATGACCCGGGTTCGAATCCCGCATTGGACACTTTTTTATAAAGAAATACTTACTTTTCAATGGACATTGATTATTGCAAAAGTCTAACCTCAAGTGCAAGGAGTCAAACGCACTCTAGCATACTTTAAGTGGAAAAAGTCGAATTTATTTCTACATATGTAGACATGTGGTGTACTTACAGTAAAAGACAGTCATTAACTACCCACCAGGATTATCATGGCCTGTACCATGTGTAGACATGTGGTGTACTTACAGTAAAAGACAGTCACTAACTACCCACCAGGATTATCATGGCCTGTACCATGTGTAGACATGTGGTGTACTTACAGTAAAAGACAGTCGCTAACTACCCACCAGGATAATCATGGCCTGTACCATATGTAGACATGTGGTGTACTTACAGTAAAAGACAGTCACTAACTACCCACCAGGATTATCATGGCCTGTACCATGTGTAGACATGTGACAATTGACAATTAAAACAGACTTTATTGACGATCTGGTCAATAGTTACACTCCATCAAGGAAATATTTACAGATCAGGGGGGGGGGGAGCATTTTCCTGAGTATGTGTAGGCCCTCACGCACAAAGGGATCTGAGTTCCGAGCGCGCTCAATGGCAGCGCCGATGATTTCGGTGAGAATGGTTCTCTTCTGAGTGGAGAGGCGCCTGAAGAGAGGTTCCCTATCCACGGGGAATATAATTGCCTCTACGATGTCACCCTCTGTGACTCCTATATCGGATAAAGGCTCCGAGTAGCGCTCATCGCTTAATTCATATATTATGTCATTTGCCTGGTCGTAGCAGGCATCAATGAATTCGGTAGACAGTGGAGGTGGAGGTGTCGCGATGTCCGGCGACGTCTTTTCCCCGTGGAGAGCGGGTGGTGTTGACTTAGCAGGCCAAGGCGCAGGCAGTGTGGGTGTTGGAGGCACTGCTGGTGTTGTCCTGAGCTCAGCCTTGACTTGTCCGAGGACTTTGTAAAGGTTGCTGGCTGCTCCGGGCCTCAGATCTAAGATTTGCCCGATCAGGCCGGCGAGGGCGTCGCACTGCAGAGGCGACAGGAGGGGTCCTTTCCTCTGCGCCTTGGTCCTCGAGGAGAGGAGGTCTAAGACCTCCTCCCGCCCAAGACCAAGGGCGTCCGTTCCAGCGAAGGACACGCTGGGGTGCTTCTCGATGAACGCATCGAGGTCGACTCTTGTTGCGTTCTTTGCCGATGACGTGGAGGACGCAGTCTCCTCCGCGATGGACATCTCCACGTCCGGTGTTTGGGCCGCAGGCTCGCGACTCCCAGGTGTTCGCAGGGACGGAGCAGGGGTCACTGGTGGAGGGGCAGGAGGCGCGTCCTCCACAAGTAAGTCCGAAAGCGCAGGTGGTGATGGCTGGAGTGCAGCAGGTGGAAGGGGCGCAGCTCGGCTCGCGGGAGGCACGTCGGAGACCTCCATGGTTGAACTGGGAAATGCCGGAGGTGGAGGCTGGGCAGATGGCTGCTGAGGCAGCCTGGGCGCAGTCGCTGGCGGGACGCTGGAGGGAGAGGTTGGTGTGGCCGGTCCTGGAGCGGTGGTTCGCCCTGCAAGCATGGGGCAGTTGGCCCTACGATGTCCTTGGCCACGGCACCTAGAACACCTAATCCCTGAGGACAGGTATGCGGGCCAGGCCTCGCCCTTGATTGAGATGTCGAGGCGGGTGGGCAGTCTCTCGATGGTCATTCCCTCGCGGAGGATGATGAACGCCTCTCGGCGGCCGTCGTTGTAGACATATGGGCCAGCCTTCATCAGCTTGGGGGCGATGGATGTTACTCGCCCGAAAGTTGAAAGGGCGCTGATGACGTCTGCATCCCCCACGAAGAAGGGGAGGTTGCCCACTGTAATTCTCTCCGCCCTCTTGCGGAACGGGAAGGCCCTGTGGAGAGTTCCCTCCACCTCGAGGCCCTCGTTGACGAGGCGCTCGGCCAGGCCTCTGTTGGCCAGTCCCACCAGGAAGTGACCGTTCATCTTGGTCATCTGGAAGACCTCCCTGGTCCCGCCGAGCATTCTATCAAGGGCCCTCATGTAGTGGTAGGGCTCCAGTTCAGGGCTACGCTCTAAGTAGACGCAGTGGTCTTCTGTTGAGGACGCCTGCCGCGCCCTGGCCTCCACGATATGCGCTCGGGTAGTTCTGACTTCCTGGGCGCACGGCGCCCATCCCGCCGAAGATTGTGGACGGCGGTTAGTTCTGGCACCTCCTAAATTGGAGGAAGGTGCGGCCGCTGGAGACGAATTCGCCGAGCCGCGACGTCTCTTTCTTTTCTGGACAACGGTGAAGTTGCCCTCATATTCGGAGTTGCTATCCTCCGTTAATTCTGCCCAGTTTATGTGGGCCTGGGCAGCAGCTTCAGAAGATGAAGAAGCGGCAAAGTCGGTCGGCGCGGCCGGATTTGCATCCTTGCCTCCGGTAGCCGGATTTACATATTCTTTGATTCTTCGTCGATTTCATTGAAGAATTAAATTGCAAAGCGTTTTTCGCTGGTATTTCCGCATTGGGCTGTGCTTTTGTGCCGAGCCTTACAGGCTTCTCCTCGGCTTTTGAAGGGCTTTCAGCCCGTGCCAAACTCGGCGTAGTGCCGGAACTCATACATCCGCCAGAGGCGAAAAATTCAGGAGCTCGCGCGACGCGTGGCCGCACGGCCGAGTGTAGACATGTGGTGTATTTACAGTAAAAGACAGTCGCTAACTACCCACCAGGATTATCATGGCCTGTACCATATGTAGACATGTGGTGTACTTACAGCAAAAGACAGTCGCTAACTACCCACCAGGATTATCACGGCCTGTACCATATGTAGACATGTGGTGTACTTACAGTAAAAGACAGTCGCTAACTAACCACCAGTATTATCATCGCCTGTACCATATGTAGATATGTGGTGTACTTACAGTAAAAGACAGTCGCTAACTACCCACCATGATTAATCATGGACTGTACCATGTGTAGACATGTGGTGTACTTACAGTAAAAGACAGTCGCTAACTACCCACCAGTATTATCATGGCCTGTACCATATGTAGACATGTAGTGTACTTACAGTACCCACCAGGATTATCCTGGCCTGTACCCTATGTAATTTTTTAATGCTTTTTTCATGCTAAGTGTCACCTACATATATGATCTTTCATACCTAACTATCTATGGAATTTATGGTATTCTTTGGCTTAACGGTCACCGAGCTCAAGACAGAGATGGCTGGCGTCGTGTTTGGGATGTAATACGTATAATACAACGTGCGATTGCGAATAAAATGATTGTACTATCTTTATTAAATGTAATCTCAAGCTTTCGGTCATCTATGACCTTTTACAGGAGTACATAGAAACATATACCCCTGTAGAAGGACAGAGATGTCCGAAAGCTTCAGATTACATTTAATAAAGATAAAAGAAACTCATCTCCAGAAAATTGTGGCATTTGTTTAATTAAATATCCTATATATATAGATTTTGTCAATAGAATCATATTTATGAAAGATACCTTAAAGATCCAGTTGTTTATTTTGGTAGCAATGTTAAAACGTTACTACTTTTATATTAATCATTATGTTAATAGAGCAAAAATACATTAAAAATTATAATGAAAAAAATGGCGTAAAAATTGGGAAAAAATATTTTAGACCATTCTGAAGGATTTTGAATTACAATCAGAATGTATTCTTTGTCCGGGGCTACCATTATTACGTGCCTTTTAGAGCGTATTCTGAGGAATGTGAGATTTTTTGTAGGATCAATATCCCTGACCGTAATTCTTTCTTTATCAACCAAAATTGTAATGAGTCCAGCATATTGCACAGTCGTGGTGTTATTCAAGGTTGTTTTTATAGGAATTCCATCACATAGTTACAGATAAGATTACAATGGCCCCTGCGCAAGGATGACACGCAAAATCGTGAAGCGTTCCATCACATAGTTAACAATAATAATTATACAACAACTACTTTATGAGTTTGAATTCTTTTTAGAGTTTCTTCTACTTAAGACACCATTAGACAGGCAACCACACACAAAATCATATATTACCCTTTTCCTGTCATCAGATTAATCGCGCAATTTAGAACCCCTTCAGTTTTTTTCACCATCTGATTTTAATGAGGGGTGAAGACCTGAAATGCACTTTCTGTGGATCAGGAATAACAATGGAGATGATGCACTACTTATTTGATTGTGCTGCTCTGTCTGAGGAAAGACGAAAACTAAATGATAAAACGGGTCAACTTTGTCCTTCATTTCCGGCACCAATTAATGAAATATCAAAGAATAGGTATATAGCGGTGGCGATATTCCACAGGATTATATCCTGGAACACAGTGTTCTCCCCATCCCTTGTGAACTGGCGAATCCTGTATAGGGCGAGAGACCCTAAATAAAGGCTTTGTTGTTGCTGTAATATTTACCTAATGATATATCATGAAAGAATGGCTGAAATACTTTCTTCAAGGCCAATCACAAGGTAGAAAGAGACATCCAAGCTGTTAGAAACATCCAATTAGCTTCCATCACCTTGTTGAGCGTGTCTATGGATGATTCAGTAGATGTTATGTGGCCTGTTGGTGATGAGCTAGCTGTGATTTTGGCTTTCTTACTGTCCATGGGGACACTTTCTCTTTTATTGTACCCCTGCATGCGAACAATTTACACATCTGTGTTATACACTCATGGATAAAACTTAGGGAAATAGAAAGTCCAAGAAAAAATGGGAAAAGGTTGAAAATATAATCATAATCACACATAGAGCTTTATTAAGACCACCAGTCTTATACAGATATACTACAGGAAGAAAGCATAGGAAGCATTCGCCAAATTATCCACTATATATGCTTCCCGTGTTCTCAACCTAGACACCTTTCAGTTTATAAATCAGAACTCTCTGCTATAGATACGGCTCTAAAAGACATCAACTTCAACTCGCCAAGCGAATTAATAATCTACTCCGACTCAAGAGCAGCTATTTATACTTTTCAAATCTCCAGTCAAGAACCTCTCCTCAAGAGCATTGCTAA